AAATTTTAAAAATATCAATTTATATAATTCCTGATATTTTGATATTTTTTAAAAAATGTGCATTTTTTAATAGGATTATTTGTTGTCTACCCTTATGATATTTTGACATATTCTTAATTAAGCTTAATTATACATTATTTTTTTCAATGTATTGAAAATAGATGTGGATATGTGTTCGAGTAATAGCTGGCCACTATTAATGTTATAATATTGTAATAACAATGTACGTGTGTGAAACAAATAAGTAAAGACTAGTTGATCCGTTGGATGGAGACTGATTGACATGTATAGGATGGTGGGCCGACATACTTTCTTTTAAATAAAGTGGTTTGATGTTATCATCTACTAATTCACGTGATTCACTGATTGAGAGTTGTAAGGAGATCATTATTGTGCCGAGAACAAAGAATGATCACTCTATCTATTGAGCCAACGATTTATTAATACATATACTAACACTGAGAAATACTGTAATAGTCATGACTTCTTACTTGTTTAGTGTGACTATTGAAATGCATGCTTTTAAGGCATTGTTCTTATTATTGTATGAATTTATTGTTACTTCACAAATTTATTATTATTGCATTATTATACTGCTCATGCAACTGGATTGTTATTATTGCTGATATAGATATTGATAATATTTGATACTACTGATTCATTGTATAATAAGTATGTAACATACTAAACATGTAAAATACTAATTTGATACTGATATATAATAATTAGATAGCATGTATATATTTTTATATAATTTTATTATATTGATTTAATTTTAATAGTCTTTACTAATATTTTGATTTGATATTTTATTTGATTTCTTTAAGGCATTGTTCTTATTATTATATGGATTTATTGTTACTTCACAAATTTATTATTATACTGCTCATGCAACTGGATTGTTATTATTTCTGATATAGATATTGATAATATTTGGTACTACTGATTCATTGTATAATAAGTATGTAACATACTAAACATGTTAAATACTAATTTGAAACTGATATATAATATTTAGATAGCATGTATATATTTTTATATAATTTTATTATATTGATTTAATTTTAATAGTCTTTACTAATATTTTGATTTGATCTTTTATTTAATTTCTTTACTAATTGGTATTACGGATAAAATAATTTCTTTATATATTTGACACTTGTACTAGTTTACTGCTTTATAGGATTCTATAATATAGTATTTTAATGTTTATAGATTCTACTACTATTGCATGTGAAATTTACTGATTATGCACTGATTCAATGATCATATGGATGCAACAGCTATGATTTGATTATTGACATGCATATTGCTCATTTGTTATGCTTTGAATTTAGCTATAGGTTTTTATGACATGTTGGGATTTTTAAGCTCATTATACGTAGTTAAATGATTTCAGGTCAAGGTAGGCAGACATTACTGTGAGACTGGTTAGGATTCTTTAGATTTTATTTTTTTTATTCTAATTATTCTTTTATACTCACGACAGAATAATTATTATATGATTGTATAGATTCAAAGTATTGTATATTATATAGATTGAGATTTTGGGAATGAATATAGATGTATATATTAATGTTTTGAATTATAGAATATGTTTTGATGTTTATTACTAATAGATGATATTAGATAGCACTGATCAATTACTGTTTATTAAAATATAAATAAATAATTATTCCAATTTAAATCTTGGGGCATCACATTATCTACATACTACAACATATATTTATTATAATATAAGGACCTAAACCCACTTGGATTTCCAAAATTAAACATTGATTGATTTTATAAGAGTGTTCTCACAATAGGTCAAGTGAGGGCATGTGATACATGAACAATGGATGTTCGCCATAAATGATTGGAAACATGAAGAAAAGGGGGATATTATTGAAATTTAAGAGCCCCACTAAGTATTTTGATGATTACAAATATTATTGGTGTGATAATTTATTTGTTATACTTTATATATATTACATGTTTATTTAATGTGTCACTAATCATTTTAAGTAGTACATAGTACATCAAGCTGGAGTGGAGGATCAAACTCACGAAAGTGCAACATTAAGGTAATGTTAAGCTAATTTATAATAATATAGTTATAACTAATTGTATTATATGATCTTAAATTGTATAGAATGATATATTAGCTATTTTGATAAACCCTATCGTCGAATCTATGTTATCAAAATTTGGCAAATTTGAAACTTAAATTTGAATTGATCATACTGTATGAAGGAATTTCATACTATACAAACATTAATGAATATTGTCTAATTTTGTCCCATTGATTAAGGAATCGAATCATGATCAAATATTAATTAATGATTGTATTGTATGATCCATATTATACAGGATGATCAAATAGAGAGCTTGCTGGCCAAGCCTTAGTTCATTCTGGACAATCCTTGATTTGATATATCATATTGTTTAACAGTATATTGTAAAAGATGATCATTGATGAGAATTGAAATAATCATATAGTACAATTCGAGTATCGTATTGTACAATTAGAAGCTTAAAATTAAAAATTAGGGTTTTATTTAAATACCTGGCTTTATTTAAATTATATAAGAGTTGAGGGTCTGGATTAAGTAATTGGAGACACTTCTTCAAATTAGAGAGCTTTAGTGAAGGAGAGAGAGTCTCCTTGCTTTTAAGAGAAATATAGAGGTCCCAAAAGATTTTTAGAAATAAAGCTATTAAAATTTAATTAAAACATATAAAACTCATCATCCGAAACTTTTCATTCAACGCAAAAATGTTTATAATCAAAATAATCATATACAAAAATACATACATGATATAAACAATATAAATTAGAAAGAAAGCCAGGATTGTCAAAAATCCAACTTGCATGCTTATCCATATTAGATCACAAAACCTGTAATCCTTATCTACTCAACCTAATCCTTTCCTTTTTCTTGACCTGAAATAGATGCAAAAAGTAGACGTGGGCAATCATAGCTCAGCATGCTACATTCAACCTACCATAGTAGAGTAAATTTATTCATGCGGAGATTCAAATAGATTGCTTTAATAAATAATGTTTACAGAGTAATAACTAGTAATTCTAAAGTATTGATCAAAGTAGCATATCAATATGAAAATAGGATAATAAGCATTTTATATCCATATCTGTAGCATATAGAATTTCTCTCAGACCCATATACCTTTGAATAAAGATTAGAATTCATAATTTGAGCCCTTATGACTCTATGTACTAGCATATCAGATAACAGACCCTTTTGACTCCCAGATGCATAGCACCATAAATATTTAGAGATTTTAGGCCCGTATGACTCCCATTATAAACTACTTCAAAACTTCCTCCAAACATTATTTTTAATTCAAATTCACACATTTCAAGATATGAACCCAAAAATAAATGCATTTTCAAATATATTACAAAATATCATAGTCATAATATGGTTTCACAGAGTATTCCACTAATAGTTAAACAATCATAAATTCACAAAAAACAAACAAACAAACAAAGTATCAAATATAATATTGTCGAAATTTCACTATATTGCTAAATATTATTCTTAGCTATGCTTTGATCCTTTTATCACATTACAACACTATTTATAGATGTTAGTTTTCTTTAATTAATAAAACGAAACAATTTTAAAACTACCCAATGAAAATTCATAATTAAGTGTCAAAATTTGCAGAATATTACCAACTACAACATAGCAAATGTTATGTGGTGAAATTTTTTCCAATATTCAGATATACCTAGTTTTGCATCAAAATTTTATTTAAAAAGTCATAATATATCAAGAACTTTGAATTATTAAAAACTTAGATAAACAAAATGTAGCATACCTTGACTTGTATAATTTCTCGAACAGCTCCAACGGACAAAGTTGACCCAAAGCTACTGAAATATCATTTCTCTCTCAAAAAATCATGCTCTCTCTCTCTAACTAGTTGCTAAGGGATTAAAACGATTTTGAAAAATTTTGTTTTAAGTGGAATTTGATATTTATAAAACATCTAATGCGAACACCACAGCGCTACCTATAGAGAGCACGATGACACAGTGCTCAGACCCAGCACTACAGCGCCCCCCTTAAATTCCTAAGATGATAGAGAGTTCAATGTAGCAGCACAACCAACCACTAGGAATTGCTCCATAACAGAATTCATGCGTTCACTTATATGTAGAACATTCTCGGGCTTATGTAGAATGAAGATATAAAAAATTCTAACACACAAGATTTATCATATCAGAACAAAACATGTTTGAACACTATCGCAGTAAGTATTAAAGGCAATGGGTGGCTAGCAATAGGTGGCAACAAAGGCTTGTGATATTAATGGTGGCGGCCGATCGACATGACTTTACTCAATTTATGTATTTGGAATTAGCTCAAAACGTGCAAATTACAAATACCCTCAAATTGATTTAGAGGGTGATTTAAAAATACCTTACAAATATATATTGCATTTTAAATGCAACTGTCTAAATGCTCAAATTTTCAACACCCCTGCATTTACTTTATGATATACTTGAAATGTAGCCAATCAAACAACCCCTTTGTTGATTTTGGACAAATCAAAATGTAATTAATTTTAGCAATACAGCTAATCACTATCAAAATTAAATAGAATGTATGAAGAGAAACACTATAATTTTTAATTATAGTTTATAATTTTAACATATGGAAGGAATAATTAATATCCACATTAATTTTTATATCAATCATCTATTGTCAATTAATTTCTCATAATACAGTGATTTTATTGATTTAATATAAATAAATGAGGATAGTTTAATTTGTAATTTGATAAATAAAAAAAAAAAACGGAACCAAAACCAATGACCAATAATAAAAATCATATCTTAACAACCTAATCAAATCAACTAAATTAATTCAATTTAATCTACTTTTTTAAAATTTTAGCCAAACAATCCGCACATCCTATTCAACTAATTTGATAAAGCTCCAGACTTTCATCATCGTCCTTCCTCAAGACGCCTTAAAGCCCACGAAGCGTGTTGCCATGGTGATCACCAGGTCATCCAGTTCCTCTTTCGTGTACATGTCGGGTGTTGGTAAAGTTCCTTCCGCGTGAGGAAAAATGCTTCTCCAGCGAGCGAGGACCACATTATTAAAGCCTTTACATTCTGCAATGACGGAACAGCCCACCGATTACTATAAGCTTCTGTTGTCTTTCCCTTTTCCCACCTTTTGCATTGCCTTCTACAGTGCAGTTGTTCTATTGCTGGTCACAGAGCGATAAATCTGGGAGGAAGAATACAACTGGTGGGATTCAGGTTCTTGGCATCTGATCTTTGTGAGTGTCACGTCAATTCGTTGTCTTTGATTTCTGTTTGGTTGCAAAAATTTCATTTTTGCTTGTTCTTGTGTCCTGATCGGTTTCGCCATTTGAAATGTTTGTTTTATTGGAAGAATTTTGAGTTCTGATCGGTTGTTGAAGAGGTACTGAATTGATATTTTTTTTGTTGATCGTTTCACTTGCTAAGATCTCACACAAGTTTTCGCCATATAAAGTTTGATTTCGATTGTTTATGAAGTTAGTTTTGATTTGAGTCCCTTAGAATTTCATCTAAAATCTTCCTGGAGGAGTTCATGATTCTATGTCCTTGTGGTTGAAGCTACGAAAGAGATTCAATCTTGATGTTCTTTTTGGGTTGGTTTATTTGATATTTTCCTTGGCTTTTCCACTTTGTTAAATAATGCAGAAGGGTATTATCATATTTAGATTTTTTTTCTGATTTTTCATTGAAACTGGGAAATGCTTGTTCCTTTTCTCTACCATTCCGTTTATGAGTTGGTTATGAAGAGTTATTTGACATTTTTCTTTCAATTGACAGAAGCAGTGTGAAAAAGGCCAGCAGAAAAGAAGATATGGAGGGGAAGATGAAAGAAGTTTTTGTATATATCAGAAAATACTTCTTGTTTTCCCTCAAATTTACTTGCAAATTTTCATGCAGACATCCTTTTGTTGCAAGCTTTGCCTTTTTCTTGTTCATCTTGTACAGTTGTTATCCTTCTCTATTTGCTTTTCTTGTTTCTTCCTCTCCTGTCATTTCTTGCACTGCTCTTCTCCTTGGAATTCTTCTAAGTTACGGTGAACCAAATATTCCTGAGATAGAAGAAGATGACAAGATCGATAGGGAAGTTTCCTTTCTGAAAGAAGAAAACTCTGTGGATAACCCCTTTGTCAAGAAGGATGAAAACATCACGTTAGAGGACCTTGTTGATAGTAGAGTTGGCAGTGAGGAAAGGATTTTCAAAGATTCAGCTTCTTATGGTGAGAAAGAAAGAGAAATTGATTTGTTGGCCATTGATTTGATGAAAAAACAATCAGAACCTTACATGAGAATGACTGAAGTTGCTGATGGTGTTAGTGAGGGAATTGAAGGTCTTATGGTGAAGGTCAAAAAGCCTGAGTTGGATGACTGGCTTGATTCTTCTCTGGGCTCACCTTGGCAACCTGTTAATATACGTGATCCTAGCTTAGACTCTGAATCTGATCGGGCTGAGAGTTCATCTCCTGATGCTTCAATAACTGACATCCTTCCAATGCTTGATGAGCTTTCTCCTCTTTTAGATTCAGAAACTCTTCATAATGCTTCAAAATCTGCAGATAACTCAGATTCAGAGCTTTCCCAGCATCATGAATCTGACGAAGACAGTGTGAAGGAAGATGAATACAACAATGAAGAGAAGGATGAAAGCAATAAGGTTGTTACATGGACTGCAGATGACCATAAAAATGTTATGGATCTAGGGTCTTCTGATTTGGAAAGAAATCGGAGGTTAGAGAGCCTGATTGCAAGGAGAAGAGCAAGGAAGAATCAGATTATAATATATGAGAAGGATTTGATTGACTTGCACAGTAATGACATGACAATGGATGATTTATTTAATTTCCAACCTCAAATTCCTCCTATTTTTGCTCCAAGGAATCCTTTTGATATTCCCCATGAATTGGATGAATCTAAAGGATTGCCACCTGTTCCTGGTTCAGCTCCTTCAGTAGTGCATCGCCGACAAAATCCTTTCGATTTTCAATTTGACAGTGAAGATGGTAATAAGGGTCATGCGGAGGAAAATTTACACCAATCTGAGTTTAGAATGCCTTTCCAAAGAGGTTTATCTTTCAGAAGACATGAGAGCTTTGCTTCGCATTCAGCATTTCCCTATAATCTTTCACATAAGAAACATGGTTCTTCTGCATTGAATCCTTATTTTGTTGCAGAGAGGATGGGTTCAGAAACTAATGACTATGTTGATTTCCATAGTCAGCTAAGTGAAAAAAGTGAAACAAAGCCTAGTTCTTATCCTTCTCCGGACACAGTCTCTTCAGCAATTGACCCCGATGATAAGAAGGTGCCTATAGAACAAGAAACTCAGGAAAGCATAGCCTTATCTGTTCCGGTTCATCGTACTAAGCCTACGGAAAAATGTTGCCATACTTACGAAGATGATTTAGTTCACTCTCAACCTGAGTTGGGTGAGGATGGTCATTCTGTTGATCCAATTGCTTCTGCAGTCACTGAAGAAGCTTACCAAGTTATTGATGCTTCTGATATTGTTAAAAAAAACATTGAAGATATGCAATTTGGCGAGAATCATGAAGTATTAGAAGGGAAGCATGATGATTTAACCTTATTTTCTTCATCAAAAAGTATTGAGAAGAGCCTTGATATAAGCCTTGATGAAGTACTAGAAACTCACGAGCAGATTACCAGAGTCTCAAAGGCATCCAGTGAATCCATGCAATCTTCGGATGCTTCTGCTAGTCATCTTATCTATGAAACAGGTAGAGTTGATATTAATCAGGCTGCTGTACCCATCTATGATTCTAGTCCCTCTGGAAGCGGAAATTTTCTTGCCAACATTTCTGTGCCAGATGACAATCTTCTTTATTCAGGTAAATCTCAATTCTCAATCTATCTGATTCCCATATTACATGAAGTGGATGTAGAAGAATTGTAGACAATGATGGAGCTTTTTATATGCAGACAGAGAAGATATCCACTCTATTTCTACAGTGGAATCTCATGTGCAAGAAGATGCAATGGAAAGTATGACCACAGAAATGATTGAATTCAAGGTGGTTCAAGAAAGAGAGTTACAAGACTCAAGGTCTGACACGGGAGAAACTGTGACATTTTCCTCTTATATGAATCTTTTGGATGAAAATATATTGGCATCAATGGGGATATCCGAAACAAGAGAGCAAGATTTTAATGAAAATAGTTCACCAAGAATTAGTGAAGGTTTTGGTGATCTAGCCACATCATTAGAGATTGATCACTCGTCTAGTTTATCTTCAGCGGAGGCTGATTATGAGCCCAGACTTGCTTTTTCTGCTGGTTTTCCTCCATCAGAAGTAATGGAGAAGCATCAATCAATGGAGAAATTTGAAATGCAGGCATCTTTTGGAACTTACCTTGAGCAATCTCTTGTCAGTAATTTGGAATTAGGACCTATTATTGAGGAGAATTCAGAAGATTTCAAAGTTGAAGAAGAGCATATGAGCTTGGTTCAGACCAATACAGCATCTGCTTCTACTGGTTTGCACATACTTGAAGGGTCTGATGTTACTCTATCTAGTGTTGGGCAGGAAGTAGTCTCTTTGTGTAATCAATCAAAAGAAGAAGCCCAAGATGAAGGCAATGAAGTTATACCTTCAAAGATTTCTGATCTTGTTTCAGCTAATGAGGAAATGTTAAATGGATTGGCGATAGGTGAATTGTTTGACAGCATGGATTCTCTAAATCAATCTATGATTAAGTCAAAGCCTGAGTTTACATCAAATGATGATATTAGTGATTCACAAGATGATGTCATTAATGAATTCCAGATCAATCAGGATGTTATCTTGAGTAATCTAAATGATTTTCATTCAGAACATGGGGAAATGGATGATGATGTTAGAGAAATACAACTCATTGATGAGCATTTACTGTCAGAGTTGGACGCAGTTGGTGACTTTCAGGTTGAAGAATTGAAATGTCAGGAATGTCTTCTGATCGAATCGCACTCTGATGGCCAGTTTATTTGCAGTGAAGATGATTCTGAATTAAGATCAGCCCATGTTGCTGAAACGTCCCCAGACAAACCTGTCTCGGCTAATAACTTTATCCATCCTGATGAGATGGATTTAGTCTTGAACTCAGAAGAACCAAGAGATTCAGGATTTTTGTTTTTGGAAATGGTACCTGTTGAAGACTTAACAGTCTATAATCCTAAGCACCGTGTTCTTGAATCATCTTCTGTTGAAGAACTAGATTCCATTTTCAAACAAGATCTCCCTAGAGGATTAGCAGAGCCTCCTTTGTCTGAATCAATGGTAGACAAATTAGTAGCAGAGAAGCCTTATCTTGGGTCGAGAAGCTTTGATATAGTTGACCAAGAAATAGAAGCAATACTTCAGGAGGCAGTGCTGATAACTCTTACTGGAAAGAATGCTGAAGATATCAATTCAGTTTTGCTAGAGGATGGAAGAGAATATGATGTTTCGGCCTCTCCACATGAGAGACAGAAATATGATCATGTTGAATCTGTTATTCCTTCTACTTCCGGATTGACTTCATATGCTTCAGCAATTGCTGACGCTGAAGCTTCATCCCATGAATTAGATATATCCAGCAGAGACTTTCAAATAAAGGAAACAAATTCAGAGTTGTTAGTTCTTGAAGCTAAATCCATTGAAGATATTCGCTCAGCTTTCCAAGATGTTACTGAAGTTGTTGTCAACAAGCCAATCTCTCCTCTGATCAAACCTGAGCCCCACCCAGTTGATACTGTTGTGGAAGCTATGTCTCATGATGTAAATAAAACTTCAGATTTACTGGTAGTTCAAGCAAAATCCGCTGAAGAAATAATTTCAGCTATGAAGAAGGTTACTGAAGAGAGTTTTTCTGATCTCGAGGAAACGAAAAATGGCTTACATTATGAAGTCATGGAACCTAGTTCTCCTGATACTGAGAATTCGTCTGATCTGTTTGTTCTTGAAGAAAGGTCTGCTGAAGACATCAGATTAGCTTTCAAGCAAACTACTGCAGAAGTTTCTGCTATGCCTACTCCTCTAATTTATTCTGAGTTGAGTAAGACTAGTCAAGAGCATGAGGTTGTGGAAGCAATGCATCTTGAGGTACAATATAATATAGAGTTGCCAGTTCCTGAAGAAAAGTCTTCTGAGGATATTGATTCTGCTTTGGATCTTGATATGCCGACTTCTCAAGTTTCTCCTGTGTCATCGGCGAATAGGAATGATGGCGAGATTGTGGATGTGAAGTTGCTTGAGACGCAGATTAATCGAGAGCTATTGGTTCTTGATGCAAAATATGTTGAGGATATTGATTCTAGTTTCAAACCATCTTCTGAAGGTGGTCTTCTGAGATCCACCTCGCTTGAAACTGATCCTGATCATGATTCCGTGAAAGATGGGTCTTTAAAGGAAACTATTAATTCAGAGCTACTTGTTCTTGAAGCAGAATCTGTTGAAGAAACAAGCTCAACTTTGATGCATGCTACTGGAAGAGTTTTTGATAAGTCTTCTCCTTTAGGTTATCCTGAGGCATCAGGAACTTCTGAAGTTCTCAATGAGATATCTCTTGGCCTAGAGAATGATTCTGACATGCTATCTCCTGAAACAAAATCTTTCCTATATCTGAACTCAGATTGCCAACAAAATATTGAAGCAAATATTGTTCAACCAAATCTCCAGAAGTTTGGAAATTTTCAACCAGATCATGAAGCCATTGAACAAAGGTCTCTCAACGCAATGGATAGACTAGAACTGTTCAATCTTGAAACAAAATCTTTTGAAGTCACGCATTCCACATTCAAAGAAGCTGCTGTAGATTTTATTGGTCAGTCAACTACAGCTCTAGTTGATCCCAGTCACAACCCAGGACAAGAAGTTCTGGATGTGAAGTCTCCTGATACTAGTAATATTTCTGATTTCCCGGTCCTTGAAGAAAAATATCTTGAAAAGTTGAATTTGACATTTGGACAAGCTATGGAAGGTTTCCTTCCTAAGCCAGCATCTGAAGTTGGCGCAGAACATGATTCTGTAGGGGAGAGTTGTCTTGCCGCTGATGAGTATTCAGAGTTAGTAGTTCTCGAAGAAAAATCTATCGAAAACATACAATCACCATTTTCAGATGCCAATGCAGGAGTTCATGAGGGTTCATCTTCTCTTCCAGTAGATCCTGAGCCAAAGGAGACTCTCCCAGGCCACGAAGTTGAAAACAATTTGTGTTTTGAGGCAGAGAACAATGCTGAGATGTTAGTCGTCGATGCAAAATCGATCAAAGATATAAATTCTGCCATCAATCAAGCTACCAATGTGGCTAGTTCTCCATTGCCTGTTGATTCACAATCTCTTGGCATAGGGGATCCATCAAGTTCATTGGTTCTTGAAGCAAAATCTGTTGAACTTACTGATTCATCTTTGAAGAAAGCACATCAAGAAGATAGCAACAACTCTGACTTTTTTACAGATCCTCCACCACTGCAGGCTAACTCAGATAAAGATTCGGAGCTGTTAGTTCTTGAAGAAAAATCTGTAGAAGATATTGATTCAGCTTTAACACAAGTAACTGAAGGATACCTTGGTAGCCCTGTCACTCTACAAGATGATTCTAAGCAAACTGAAACTATTCCTGAACCTAAGTCTGCCACTGATAGCAATGTAGTTGCCAAACAAGACTTTGAAGTAGAATATGCTAAGGAGACTATAGTGGCCTCTGATGAAGAAGTTACGGGGGAAAATAGCTCCAGTGAAGCCCTAATTAATAGAAGAAAAGATGGAGAGGAGGCTGGCTCTGACGATCCTAGTTCTACTGCTCCACCCTCAATGAAGATTAAGAAGAAGAAATTTGAAAAGTCTGATTCTAGTTCAAGCTCAAGTTCTAGCTCGAGTGACTGAATGATGGAAAAATCATTTCTTTTATACAAAATAGTTTGGGTTTGTTAATTCTATCTATAGTTTCTCTTCGCTTTTACTCTTGTTGGCTTTGGGTTTGCTGGTTTGCAGATTTTTGTGTTGGTGTTGGGGCTTTTTGGGGTGCTTTTTTCAAATTTTTTTTATATTTTTTTAATTTCTTATTTTTTATGAAGATTGAGTTGGTTGTTTTATTCTGGGGATGATACAAGTGTATCCTTTTTATTGTCACTTGTTACTCTTTTAAATCTCTTGGAAAAGTTTGAAATTTGTAATTGCTCCGTTTGATGCTGTAAGAAACTTGTTGAAAAATTTTCAAAGACCTGTGTGGAATCTTTTCTTTTCATTTGATGCTTTCCTATTGATGCCGCTTATTTCTCCAGAACATATTAATAATCTGCTCAGTAACTTCTCGTTGACCTTTCCCTTTGGTTCGAATTTGTGCTAGCAACTGAAGAAAATCTGCATTTTACTGTTAGATACCAAGAACAGTAGAAAACAGAGAAGTAGATCAGTACATTGGAATTCAATACATTACAACTACAACTTGGTAAAAGTTTATATAGGAGTAGAGGACAAGGGCCGGGTATGCAGCAGTGAATGGTTATCTAACGATGTGGGTGCAGGCTTTTGTTGGTTATTGGTGTAGGCTATGTCAGAATGAGTAATTGTTACATACTATAAGGAGCAACTGATATGACAATAAAGGTCGGGACTGTGGAAGAGCTGATCACTATTTGCATGGGTGGGGATTTTGAGAGACATTGAAGAGAGTGCAAGTTTGTAGTCCGCCAAGCTCGATTTCAATAAGATATCAAGAGCATAATGAATTTGGTGGAGAAGATAACAAGATTTATTGGAAGAACTTGAGAAAAAGGGAGATAGGATAAGATCCTTAAGGGAGAATTAGAGTTGAAGGTCATGGAAGAGATTGGAGACTACAGTGGGATCATTTTCTGTGATGAAGATATTGTTTGCATAGACCAATAAGTAGATAGGGCTAGTTTTGGTAGAGCATATGAGAAGTGGGAGTTCAGATTGGTTGAATTTGTAGCCACAACTAAAAAGAGAGGTGGAGAATGTGAAATCTTATTGTTGTGGTGCATGTTTTAACCCATAAATGGTTTGTTGAGTTTGTTGACAATTTTGTGATGAAGGGTATCTATAAAATAGGATGGTTGATTCATGTAAACATATTCTTGAAGTTTGTCATGAAGAAAGGTGTTGGAGAGATCGAGTTGGCAAACAATCCAATTGTGATGGAGAGTTACAATAAGAAGAAGAGGAATGATGGGTAGATTGGCCATCGAACTAAAAGTCTGAAAGCAATTTATGTCATATTCTTCTTTGAAGCCTTGAGCAATGATGCTATCTTTGTGATAGTCAATACTACTATCATATTTAAGCTTTGTTTTATAGGTCTATCAATAGCCAAAAATTAATTGATTGGACGGAGGAAGAACTAGAGTTCAAGTCCCTTGGCGTTGAAGTGCAAGGAATTCAATGGGCATAGCTTTTTTCCATTAAAGAGTTTGGAAGCTTGAGAATAGCATGTTGGAGTGGAAGAAGAAGCAAGTTGCACATTGAGTGAAAAAAGTTATTTGGGTTTGAGATGACTCTTCTTAGAGTGAGTTTTTATAGGATGGATATTGGTGGGAGAGAGTGGTGGAGCTTGCTAGGAGGAGCTGGAAGATGAGGAGATGTGAGGAGTGAATAGGGGAGCTGTGGTTGGTGGGGAAAGAAGATGGTTAGTATGAATGCTAGAGGAAGTAGCAGGAAGAGAAGAAGGGGGTGAGGTGCTATGAGTATTGTTTGAAGTGCCAGGATATTGTAGAAGAGTTAATGGAGAGGATGTAGAGGAGGAAAAGGATAAGGAGAGTGAGCTTAGAAAAAAATAGACATGTTCATGGAAGATGACATGGCATGAGATAAATATTTTTCATTTATAAGGTTGTAGCAATGATAGCTTTCGTGAGTTTTGGAATATCCAAGAAAGACATATATTGTGGAGAGAGGGGTGAGTTTGTTGGGTGCTAGGGGGCTTCATCTAGGGAAAGTAGAGGTAGATGAATATATTAAGGTAATCATAGGAGGGGGGTGTTTGTGGAGAAGCTAATATGGAGATTTATTGTTTATCTGCCTGGAAGGAATCATGTTAATAAGGTAGTTTGCAATTAGAAGAATTTCGACCCAAAAGGAAAGGGGAAGATTGGTTGTATCTTGTATGTGGTAGAGTTCGAGAAGTTTCAATAAAATAATGATGTTTGCATTCAGTTTCTCTATTTTTTTTTCCTTTAGTATCAAGGATTTTCAGTTAGTGTGTTATGCCTTTTCAGATAAAAAAATGATGGTGTCAAGATATATACTCTCCACCACCATCAAATCTTAGAATTTTAATACAAGTATTGAACATTTTTTGGTTGTGTTGGTGAATTATATAAATTTCTATGGAAGCTCAGCTTTGTTATGCAATGGAAATAGCCAACAATATTTAGAGTTTTCTTCAATAAAAAGTGCATAATATTTGAAACCATTAAGTGATGAAACGAGATATGACCCCCAAACATTAGAGTGTATAATTTCTACGGGTTTCAAGAATGTAAGATTTAAAGATATTATCAATGAGAAGATCAAAGTTATCATAATTTTAGATCAGGCAGAGAAATTGATGAATAGAGGTTGCTCATATCCAACTAAATATGACAATGTGTCATATCTAAAGGGGTATTTTATTCTTAAGTTCAATAAATTTAATGGAAATGCTAATTCGAGACAATACCTAGCCCAATTCAAAATGACTTGTAGTAATATAAGTTGCAATGATGCATTGTTGTTCACTAGTTCATTAATAGTTTGATCTCGACTGCTTTTAAATGATATGTTGAACTTCCCAAAAATTCTATGACGATATTTGTATAATCAGTAGTTATATTTATAATGAGCTTCGCTAATGCAATGAAGAAGACTATAATTGCTAATCTCACCTAAGAGAAAGTAGAAGGAATGGTTAGTGGTTAAATACATCACTCTTGGTGTAATATGAGTACGAAGTGCAAGTAGCAGCTATAGGAAGAATAACTAATTCCATTGATAATGGTCAATATAGATGATAAAATGGCATTGTATCTATGCATAATGCACATTACAATATTTTAAGGCTACTCGATCAGATGATAACATTTGAATAGCTTTTTGAAGTCAGAAAGTCATTCTTATAAGTTTAAAATAAACAAAGATTTAGATCACAGATGGAGTGAAGCACATGTTACTTCCTTTAATGTTGATAAAAGGAAATATGTAGTTTATAATGGGGACAAATGAAAGCAACCAATGCATAATGAAAGCAAGGGAAAATAACCTTCAACCTAATCCCCAACCAAAGTGAATGCTCGAGGGGAATGATAAATCTCATGAGTTTTTTAAATAAAAGGGATCGCCCAAAGCAAGAAGTCGGAGTTTGTGACCAAACTCTCCCATTTTTTAAAGAAATGTTGAATAAGAAGTATTATTTCAAGAGGAAAAGCATGGTGAAGTCATTCTAGCATGATCTAAAAGTCAGTCTTCTATTACTAGAGCATAAGAGACCCAAAGAAGCTGATAAATTTAATAATCATAATTATTTCCTGTATCATAGAGTGATTAGCCATGCATCCTACTGAAGATTGGTATATATTCAAAGATTAGATATAAAGGAACTATGATAAAAGGGAATTCACACTATTGAATAGTATAATGTTTCATCCTAAAAGATAAATAACATAGGTGGTTACATCTTCTTCCATGCCCCTGACTCAAAGGGAAGTAAAGAAAGAATTAGTTCAAGATGAATGATGGGAGACTAGAGTCCCAAAGTACAAAATGAATTGTTGAAATAGCTTGAAAGAGTTCTTGATGTCAAGTGAAAATCTTCTATTGAACCAGTGCTCAGTTTAAAAGGGTGCCCAAAATCAAAGGCATCTACATATAAACAAAAAAAAAGTGACATCATAACTAAGTTAGCTCATCGAAGTCTGATAAGACCCCATCAAATATGCTCAAAAGGGAATTAAAATCAAATGAGGAAATCTATGAAGAAGAAAAATAAAATCCAAAAGGTTATAGACAATTTCGATACCATTAACCTACAAAGTAGTCTATTAGGCTTTACTGATTTCATGTATGGACTTCGAATTATTAAGGAAGAAGAAGAAGAAGAAGAAGAAGAAGGAGAAGATGATGATGATGAAGGTGATAAAATTGAATAATCCATTACAGTTGAGACAAAAGAAGTCATCTCAGTGATATCGAACATTAGTCTATGAAGCTCTCCAAAAATTCATAATATGGGTCATGTGAGACCTCGTTCCCTTACTGTTCCTCTCTGACTTGGATTTTCCTCCCAGGATCGTCCGGGACGATAGTGAGATCGTCCAGGCCGATCTGTACTGTTCAAAATATCGAACTGAAAATAGTTCTGGGAACCGTCCAGGCCGATGATTTTGGTCTGATTGTCCTGGGACGATTTGGCGATCGGCCGGGCCGATCAGCAGAAAATCAGTTCGTTTTGAGGAGACAGAAAATCATTTTTAAAATATCAGATATTTTGTAGAGAGAGAAAGAGAGGAAAAGAAAGGGAAAGGTTGGATTTCGGAGGCCGCGGAGCGCTTTTCGTCCGACGCTGCTGTTGGGAAAAGTGAAGATCTCGTGGTAAGGACTCCGAATCCTATTTCTGTTTTCAAAGATATTGAGTTTTGACCGAGTTGTACACTGTTTTGTGTTTTCGTAGTCGAACTTTTGACCTGATTTCGTATTGACACAACTTTCACCGCACAACTTTTAGTATGTTATAGATATGACTATTGTACACGATTTGACTATTTTCTACGAAGATTTTACCGGTCGGAATTGATTCTACGCGATTTTAATCGAATAGAAAAATATCAGGACTTGATTTGATTTGAATTCTATAGAATAATAGTCTTGTATTGATGTCGTGGATATTCTATTATAATTTGGAGAAATTTGGAATTTGTGCTTTTTGCAGGATTTTTGTGTAAATTTGATAGACTGCCGTTACGCTGCCCGATTTTCGTATGATTTCTGATTTTCCGTCGGATTTGATAGATTGATTTGATATGCGTATGACTATTGATATGATTGTTCTGTTCTAGATTTCTTTCATATTGTTTATTGCAATCGATTATGCAATTGACTATTGATTGAATTGATTGTTATTGAAAGACAAGTGGGAACCTGGTTGAACGTTGGTTGGAGATAGAACTTGACCTGTACAGGATGGTGGGCCGACGGCTTTCTTTAAATATCGATCAATTGGATTTTTTACAAGCAGCACTATTGATGGGAGTC